TTTGCCGAGGGGGTGTTTGTCTCTTTGTCCACCGAGGTGGCGTGTGCTGAATCATTTTGGCAAATGATGGGGGGAGGGTGCGGCTTTTCTTATATCCGGAATGTTTACTAGACAGAAGCCGCCGAACCAGCTAAAAAAAAGTAAAAACTGGAAAATCGAGGGTTTAAACCTGGAATGAAATGTGTAAAAAGCTCATATATAAATAAAATTCATTTTAGAATTCGCGCCGACTTCTTCCAAGGGCTCAACGACCTCTACTCGATCGACGTCGGTGCCAACCGCATCTCGAACACGGAAAACCTCGCATTTGCCAACCTGCCAACCATTCAGCATCTCGATATTAGGTAGATTTTTAGTGGAGTTACATAATAAGAGTCAAATGAGCGTATAGAAATGGTTGAAAAGCTAGATAATAGCTCCAAAACCCTTTTACAACCCGTTTTTCCAGCTACAACCAACTGCAGACGATGCCGAACGACGTCTTCCAAAACTCATTCTTGCCCCAACCCGACGAGCGCCGTGTTATTTATGCTTGTGGTGAGTTTGGCTTTTTCTCTATATTTTTAAACATCAAAACGTCCCGAAAACATTCGCAAAATCATAATGTCGAAATTCCGAATGCCGAAATTTCAAAATGTCGAAATTACAGAATGTCGAAATTTCACAGTGTCGAAAATCATAATGTCGAAATTTCATACCTTCGAATCTTCATAATTGGAAATTTTAGAGTATCGAAATTAATAAGCAAATCTCCCGAAAAGTCCCCAAATTCTGTGCAAAATTGTGGCCATTATGAATTTTCGGCGTTCTGAAACTTCCACAATATAAATTTCGGCATTTTCGGCATTATGATACCAATTAATAAATAAATAATTAATCCTCATTTCTAGGCAACCCCTGGCTGTGCGACAGTCAGCTCACATGGTTCCGTCAGCTTCTCCGCGAGAATCTCGACATTGACATCGACAAGCCGGGCTGCACATCCGTCTGCCGCTCTGCACCCAACAATTGCCCACCCGAGGGCACACCGCTTCGATCCGAGGATCTGTGCCCGTTGAACAGCGAGACGCCGCAGGCTTTCGTCTCGTCACCTCTGTCGATGGTCCCCTGGATCATTCTCGGTAATTTTGGTGGGAGAAGAAGAACAAACTCGGACTAAACAAAGAGTTAGAAGATTCTTTCGCATTATGGGGGAAGCAACTTTTTTCCTTAAGATCTACTTTTTCAATTATAAATGGTGGAAGTGTTTTTAAATGGTTTTTTACTATTCTTAAACATAAAAACTTTACAAATTTGTAGTAAGAAATATCAAAAAGACAAATTTTTCGACTGAAAATGGCTGAGTTTTGACCAAAATTTCGACTTTAAAACCCAAAAAACGTTTTTATGGTTTTTTAGTGACTAACTACTATTAAAAACCATAAAAATACGCTAGAAAACGCCAAAATATTTTACTAAATAACTCCCCCGGTAACAGCCCTGTCCCGCATTTACGCTAGATAATTCCACTCTGAACGGCGCAACGCGAGCCGCGACGCGTACCAAAAATAAATTTTTATCCTCAAAACCTTACAGCGATCATCATGACGATCCTGATGATCTCCATCTGCATGCTGGCGCTGATCCGCTACGGCATCTCGCACAAGCGGAAGAAGCAAAAGGACCAGGAAATCGAGGAGGACCGATATCTCTCCACTGCTGGTTCGTAATTGCCCTTTTTGGCTGGTTTTTAAAGTCGAATGCGTCAGCTTTTTGAGTTTTTAAAAGCAAAGCAACGAAAACGCAATTTTGAACCTTTAGCATCAATGTTCGCCGGTCCCGTCTCGACGATCGGGCCGCTGGGCATCGAGAGTCGGCCGTACACGTCGCACACGGGGCTCGACCTCGATCTGCCCACAGCCCACTCACTCGACGATCGGCCCAACAACTATCTCTACTAGGTAGGTGGCGACTGGAGCACGACTCAAGACTCAGCACCTAGCTAGAATTTTGCGAAATTTTCGAATCTCCGAGTCAAAAATTAGTAACACGATCTGATGATTCCCGGGTTATCGCAGAAATCAGATTGACCTAGCGATACGGTAGCGTGAATCACCCGTGTGAATTATTATAGCCGACACGTATCTGGTTATACTGAGGCTAACACCTATGAATCAACTCGAAAGACCCTAATCTGGCGCTTCTCAGACTCGCGTGTCGATTCGTCATTTTCGACGCCCGTTATCTTTGCATCTTATGATGCTTACAAACAGACATGAGGTACAATCAAGCGCTTTTCTCAGGATGGCGCAAAGACGCCCACGCTTTTGCACTGTTTTGAACCGGAAGTAAAGGGATGAAGTCGAAAATCAATAAAATAATTCGTATTTTAGTACGGTAACCAAACGTAAAGAGGTTTTATCGTTTAAGAGTTAAAAACGTCAAAAAAAACTGGCTTTCCAGGCTAAAAAAGCGTATAAATACTAAAATTCTCGGGCGAAACCGCTTTGTACGGAATTACATAGCGTAATTGAATCCTTCCGACGGGAAATAAGCTAAAAATTAGTTCAAAAAAATTGTTTCCTAACCAAAATAGTGAAAAAGCTTAAAGAATCCACGGGATTTCAACTATACAATTACCTAACGTAATCCAATAACCCTTCAAAAAAACACACGTTTTTATTCGTATTTATTACTACAACGTATTATGAAGTATTTCAGTTACGACGTTCCCCATCCAAAAAGAGGTGCTCTGCTCAGCCATATATCATATCCGTCTCTCCTGCCATTTCTTGCTCCCACTCCCTCCTCGCCCAGCTCTTCCAGACGGGACCCCACATCCAAATCCACAACCCTGCCCTTGAATTCAATGCTCCTTTAGAGCGCCTTCAGCCCTATCCCATGCCCCAGCTACCGTATCCCCCACCCGATTCCCCAACCCAATGTTTGTACATTTTGTCCACCACGTAATTATTTTTTCTTGCTTCGGCTTTGTGCCCTCAACGGTTCTGTTATATTGTGAAAAAAGAGGTGTGTGTTTTTGGATTATGGTATGATGATAAAGATTAGAAGATATTGTGACAGGGTATTTACGCATTAATTATACGATTGCAAAACTTTTTTCTAGGATCAGGCGCTCTATGGCTAATTGGTAGTGTGCTAGCCTGCCACCCACACGGTCCAGGTTCGATCCCGGGCCACTACAAATTTTTTGCTTTTTGGCCAAAAGTTGGGAAATCTATATACCTTTCGTTATCCGAACGAAAAAAGCATATCGATTAGCGACTGGTGCATTAATGCCCAATTTCCGAAAGCCACGGCGTCTGGCTAATTGGTAGTGTGCTAGCCTCCAGGCAAAGAGCCCGAGTTCGACCCGTGCCCGCGACAAACTTTTTGCTTTTTTGTGAAAAGGTGGGAAATGGCGATATCTTTAGGTACCCGATTCAATTAAGCTCCCTCGGCCGGGAATTCCACTAATTTTAGGCGTTTTTGTGTCTTACCCCCTGCTATCGAGCCGTCCAAAAATACCCTGATAGCTTTTTCTTCTGCGCTATTTTTAGCGTACCCCATGACTTTTTGGAGGCCGTCCTCATCAGAATTTACGGCCATTGCTCCTCTTTCGTTGCCACAATGTGGCTTGACAAATTTGGGGAGGGCAAAACAAGGTGATAAGGCAGAAGCGCCTGACCCGCCAATGGTGCTTCAGATGTCCCGCATTGTCGGTTTGAGTCACGCGGGATTAAATCACCATTTTATCGGCTCCTGTGTCAACAATTCATTTCCGGTTCAACACAAAAAGCTTATCACAGTAGGGGGGGATGCGGGGGTACGGTAGGTTATATCCGGTCATATCCGGTAATTGCAAGGGGTTCATCGAAACAATTTAACCTTAGAAAAATCACAAAAACGGGCAAAAAGGACATAAAAAGATTTTAGTTTTTCATGGTTTCTGATCTGAGCAAATAAGACAAAAAAAAAACATCAAAAATGACAGATGTTAAGCAGAAGTTCCACCGTATTTTTTACTTTTGGTTTTTAGCCTACAATGAGCAAGAAAATGACACACAATAAACTCTTAAATACAGTATTTTTGCATAGCAGCATTTTTTAATTTTATTAACATCACAAAAATCGTCAATAACGACAAATGCGTACGCCTAAAACATAAGTCTAAGGCTGAGCTTAAGCCTAAGCTAAGCCTAAGCCAGCCCACCTAAGCAAATTTTACTTTCAAAAACAACACTCCGCTGGGCCAATGGGACTTATTAGAGCCCTCTTCAACACATATTAGCATTTTTATAGCAAATCAAGTCCTTTCCGAGCACAGCCATTAATGCGCCGATACCTAGGCGGCCCTGGACTAGACATCCTCAGACGCAACCCAGATACCGTAGCCCAAACTGCGCCATCTCCATCGTCTGCCCCAAAATCGGGACCAACATATCAGATCTGTTCTCCAAATCGGGCAGTAAAGCCAAGGGGTGGGTGGATTTTACATTTTTTTTCGTCAAGAGCTCACTCGAAATCTAGCCACCCCGGCGGCTTCACTGCCCCTTTAGAGGGCGATATCGCCCTGGGCCGAGGCGGGTCTTTTCAGACGGGAATTTGCGTGGCGTTGCTCTGCGGTTAGCTTCTTCTCCGTCTCGGCGATGCTCTCCAAGAAAGCCAGCCAGGTTGGGTCGGTTCCGCCAGCTGAAAAAGAGGGAGGATGAGCTTTTAACTTTGGGTCTAATTGGGTTATCACGAGCCGCTGCTGCTATCTCTCGCTCTCTCGACTTCTCGCTCGCTCTCTCGCTCTCTCTCACTCTCTCTCTCTCGCTCTCTTTATCTCTCTCTCTTGCTCTCCTCTCTCTCTCTCTCTCTCTCTCTCTCTCTCTCGTTGCTTCGAGCGGCACGTTGCGCGTCTGCAACACGTTCACACCACAGCGATGGCCCAAATCCCCAAAAATCTCTCCAACAACTCACCGCCCTCCTCCACGGTCCCCTCCGCAGCATGATGTTTATCTACATCCATGACACTAGGTGGTATTGGTGATGGGGTAGAGGCGAGAGAGACGGGTGTCGGAAATGTGAACACCACCGGTTGGGGCTTCTTCTGTGGCGGGAGAGCCGATAGCGGTGCCAGACCCGATGGAGTCAACGGGGATTGCAGCTGGAAAAAGGTTATGAGATAGTAGGTAAATGGAGTTAGCTAATTTAATCGAAGAGAGAGAGAGAGAGAGAGAGAGAGAGAGAGAGAGAGGGAGAGAGAGATAGAACACTTACCGGCGAGAGAAACGTGGCATTCGATGTTGACAACGGTGAGGCTGAGAATGCCATCCCGGGATACGGTCCGTAGCGCGCCAACTTACGCGGCACCATTTCCATCTGAAAAATTTTACGCGTTCACGAAAATGGACGTTGCGCTACGCTACACGACGCTACGTTGCGTGACGCTACGCCACTTTATCCGCTTTACCGCGCTAAGTTACGTGACGCTATGCTACGCTACATTCCGCTACCCAACTATTTCCACAGTCTTTTTTTTTGCTTCGCTACCTGCCCAAAATCCGGGTGTCCACCATTTGTGAAGATACGCGGCGGCAACGAGGTCGGATACCTGAAAAATGGTGCTTTCCGGGATTCTTGCGCTCCAGACACCAGTGACGTAAAAAGCTCTTGCGCGCAAAAATTCCCCGAGCAGGGCAATGATAAGCTAATTGGCGCCAAACATCTTGATCCTTTGCGGGTTTTATGATCATTTTCGATCAGCACGCCGTGAATCAGATTGTCGCAATTTTTACACGTCGTAATTTCAACGTGTCGAGAACTTAGTACCAAAAATCCCGACATTATGCAAATTCAGCATTTTAAAACTCCGACTAACTTAAATTTAAACATTTTCAAGGCCGAAATTCTGAAAATTCGGCGTTTTAAAATTCCGGAATTCTGAAATATCGATACTTTCTAAAAAGCTGAACTCGCCGAAATAGAGATACTCACCTTTGAATAAAGTGTACGGGCTCGCCTTGAAACGGCGGGTATGCAGTGAGGATACGCTGGAAAATAGGGGTGTAAGGCGGGATGTAGCGTAGCCCTTACCTCGCCGCGCGACATCTCTTCCGCGTCCGATGAGTCCGCCGAGTCGTAGGTATCTGGAATATCGTGGGGTTTTGGTTCTCTCTCTCTCTCCCTATCTTTCGCTCTCTCTATCTCGCTCTCTCTTTTTGATGCAAAAGATACCTGTAGGCCTGAATCGCTGCCGCGTTAAATTATTCTGCTGTGGGAGTAGCTCGACTTTTAATCTAAAATTATTTTTGACGCGTCTACTCGTTACATAATTAGCAAAAATATAAAAATTAAACCCACTTCCGTATCCTCCGGCAGGCTCTCCTTATAACGACGTACAAACGCATTCTTCCGCATCCGCATCAACCGGTCGCACTAAATTTTAGGGTCTATGATTTATTGTTTACATTTATAATAAAGAATTTGCAAAAAAATTCTAGCGATTTTTAAAAGCGGTATTTAAGTTTTATATAAATTTAAGGTATTTAAATCCCTTACCGATTTACATTTACAATCAATAAAGGGGCAAAGCGGGGCGTGGCCCTTCAAAATACGCTGAAATCCGTGGCCCTCGCATTTTCGGCAGTAGAGCACGCGGCCCTTCGTCGACGACAGTGAATTCGGGGAGTTTAGCGCTGAAAGGGTACTGTAACTTGGGTCAAGTTTTAGGGAGGCAGTTGTTGTGCAAAATGCGCTCTTGCGACGCGCGAGACGGCTACGGTACGGTTGCAATATTTTTTCACTAGCTGTCTGGCGGTCTCTCTCTCTCTCTATCGCTCTCCCTCTCTCTCTCTCTCTCTCTCTCTCTCTCTCCCTCTCCCTCTCTATCTCTCCCTCTCTCTCCTTCTCTCTCTCTATCTCTTTCTCTTTCTCTCTCTCTTTTCGCTCTCGCTCGGCTCTCTCTCCCTCTCTCGCTCTCTCTCTCACTCTCCCTCTCTCTCTATCTCTCTCTCTCTCTCTCCCTCTCTCTCGTTCCGGTAGCTGAACAACCTAGTCATTCTGCGTTTCTGCAAATTCCGTTGCGCACGCAAAATTTTTAGGCCGCTGATATGGCCGGAAAAACCGGGCTGAAATTGCTTTGCTACAGTATTTTGTTCTCGGGAGTTCGGAACACGCGATAACAACCGCCAAATGTCGTGGACAAAACAGAAAATGGGGTCAAAGTTGCGGAATTTTAAAAAATATCGGGATTCGGGTCCTATGTTACGCGACGCTACGCTAGGGTATGTTGCGCTACGTTACACAGTACACCATACTACATTAGGTTCCTATGGATAATGTTATGTTACGCTAGGTTATCAAACTTTAGGTTACACTATTTTACGCTACATGGCGCCACTTTACACTGCCGTCCGCTACCGTACGCTACGTCACGCTATCTTATGCTACTTTACGCTGATGTGGGCTACGTTACGCGACGTTACGCTACGCTACGTTGTACGAAACGTGGCTTAAATTATGGTAGCTACCGTGCACGGCAGATAAGCCAACTCTTGAAAATGCATCCCTACCTACCTACCATCTCTCTCTCTCTCTCTCTCTCTCTCTCTCTCTCTCCCTCTCTCTCTCTCTCTGTCTCTCTCTCCCAACAGTTCGGCTAACTATCCAGACACCCTTATCGTTCGTATCCGAAACCGCATCTGTGTTTTTTCGTGTGTCCCTTCTTGATTACAGCATTGGGCAATCGGAACTCACGGGACTCTCCGCGATTCTGGTGCACACTCATCATGGCTGCTGCAAATAGTAGTGAAGCGGAGGGAGGGAGGGAGGGAGGCAGGGCCAGAATCGTTAGTATAACATGTTGCCCGGGCGGTTATGTGAATCGAGCCGTTATCACAAATGTCTCCCTGCCCTTCGCCTAAACGGGACGACTTCTGGGGTGCTGATAAGTCGTAAATGAGAGGGGGAGGGCCCTCAATACTTTTCAAGTTGATACTTTTGTTTCGCGGGTGCGCTTGCACCTAACATCATCCAAATGTCGCAAGGTTTTGAGACAGAATATGTTAGTGGAGGCATAAATAAACGCATTAAGGTTTTGGGCGAGAGAGAGTGAGTGAGAGAAAGAGATAGAGAGGGAGATAGAGAAAGCAAGAGAGAGTAATAGAGAGAAAAAGCGGGAGGGTGAGAGTGAATGGGAGAGTAGGAGAGTGAGGTAGTGAGATAGTGAGTGAGAGGGGGTGAGAGAAAGACTGCGTGATAATTTGAGAGAGGGAGTGAGAGAGGTAGAGAGAGAGCGAGAGAGAGAGGGTGAGAGAGTGAGTGGGTGAGAGAGAGTGAGTGAGAGTGAGAGTGAGAAAGCGTAAGAAGCGAGAGAGACAGGGCGAGAGCGAGAGAGTTGGACGGTTGGCGAGATGGAGGTAGAGATAGAGAACACTTTTTGAGCCGTAGAGACCTAATCGATGGAAGCGGTCGATTTCGCTCCTTCCTAGTCCCTTTAGTGGGACCAGGCGCACCTTTTCCCATGTCCAGAATAACCAGCTACTTTTATATGTAAATCCATTTTGTAAAAAGAATAACCTTCAGAAGGGCGCGGCCGTCCCTATTTTTTATTTGGCTTTTATAGCTTTATCGTTTTATCAACCTTGTTTTAACTTCCATTAAATGCTGACTTCTCTTCATTCGTATAACAAACGCGGGGGATGGCGGAACTGGGTGTGGCTGCTAATTATTTGTCATGGTAACGTGCTGGCAATGGGCGTGGATGCGTACCGGCCACGCCTAGCTTGCCGATACTCTTGATGACACATCGGGCTGACAAGGTTTTTTGTAAAGGTAGGCTTATCTGTCCTGAGGCGTCGTGTATACGTGCTTTTACTTGTCGGTAAGTCACCGGAGAATTGTTTCTCTTTTAAAGAGATTTTGAAGGAAAATCTATCTTTTCCACTCGCTACTTAATTTTCTCTCTACGTCTCTCACTCTCGCTCTCTCTCTCTCTCTCTCTCGCTACGGAGCTATTCCTGCACGGGATGATACGCAGTGTAACGTATAAGTATACGCGCAGTGGACGTATAGCTCGATTTTTTGTTATGGACCTCCTAGTTGTCTCTCCCTTTCTCTCTCTCTCGCTCACGCTCACTTTCTTCCTCTCTCTCTCTCTCTCTCTCTCTCTCTCTCTCTCTCTCTCTCTCTAATCTCTCTCCCTTGCACTCTCTTTTTCAACCCAACCTTCGAGTCAATCCAAACTACTGCAAAAACCCAATTCCACCCGATTCCTCCTTACGTCTAGCTCCACCCCCACACTCTACTTCTACAAGGTATTTTCCACCGACTTCAACACCACTTTCACCCTAGTCTGCCCTGCCTTATCAACAGCTTCAACTCGGCCAGACCACAACCCCCTCCAGACACACGGCGTGGCCGGGCCTGCCTGTGTGTTTTGAGCAGCCTAGTCCCGCGATTGCCGATTGGAAACTGAGGGGGAATACAGTACGCGGCAATGCTTTAGACGGCGCCGCTGGATTCCGGGTGATCAGCAACAAATCCACCCGATCAGTACCTGCTGAACAAACCTCAACATTCGGCTTTATGAGATGAGAGCGATGGGTTGATAAAGTGGGTGACTAAAAAGGCGTGTGTTTCGTTGGACTTTGGAGGGTTAGCTTGGGGCGTGGATTAGTGGTATTAGTTCTGGAAGGGCTATGCAGGGGGTTAAAGGGCTTTGAATTTGGTGTCGTAATGTATTCGGGATTTGTCGGACTTCTCTAGCTCTCTCTCGGTCTCTCTGTCTCTCTCTCGTTATTTATATATCTCTCTCACTACTTATCTCTCTATCGCTACGGGTGTCTCTCGTCATCGTTGACGTCCTCGTTCTCTCTGGCTCTCTCTCTCATTCTCTTTCTGTATTTCTTTTCTTTAAATTTCTCTACTTAGCTATCCCCGTGTGCGCAATTATACGTAACGTTGCGTAGCGTAGTGTAACGTAGCACCGTATCAGTGTTGCAAGGTCTAGCTCAATTTACTGTTTCAGGGGTCCGGCGCTCTTCCTCCCTCTCACGCTCTCTTATTCTACTCTCTCTCTCTCTCTCTCTCTCTCTCTCTCTCTCACTCTCTCTCTCTTTTCTCTCATTACGGGATAATACCTCCTCGGCAACCTATCCTGCGCCCCTCCGTCAATAGGTGTGAAACGGATCCCGTACCTCACGGCAATATATCACGCTCTCCCAAAAATCCACGCCCGAAAAATGGGATCCTCCGCCAAGGGTGGATGGCATGCGGCAATTTTTTTTGTCTCCGATAGGCTCCAAATGACAGTGGAGGATACCGTAGGACTAGTAAGATCCTACTATATATAAAAAAATAGTGTTTGTGTGTGTGTGTGTGTGTGTGTGTGTGCATTTGCATGCAACTTCCGTCAGGGTGTCCAGAGGATATCTCGAGAGGAGATGGGTTTGTGGAGGTATTTGATACGTCATTAGATGCGTAAGGAGCTGGAGATGACTGCACACATACCAGATTTTGTAAAATATGGTGTTTTCGACATTAAAATTAAGTTTTTCTTAAAAATTCCGACACCCACTTTGTTAGGATAAAATTAGCATACGCCGGAAGTCGCTGTAGCCTATATAAAGGCTCAAAGGGAGCGTTTTTGATTTTTGTCATCGGAATTGGGGCACAATTATGCAAAACGAAGAACATCATAGGGTTAGACGGGGCCAGGGTTGAAAAGTCGCG